GCCCTCCTTGAAGCTCTCTTTTTTTTTTTTTTTTTTTGCTCCATGACTTTCCAATGTTGCCTACAAAATGGCCTGGTACAAAACCTTTTTAGAGTGAACAGACCACGTGGATGGGAAATGATCTGTTCCTACTTATTACTAATTATGAACAGGCAAAATTGTCAAAAAAAATCCTTATGAATTACTAAACAGTAGCCTTAGTTGTAAGATGTGGACAATTAAATGAAAGTGATCGGGTCTCACTCTATGCACCACAGAGTGTGCCTAGTACTTGACCTATCCCTTAGGTGAAGTACCGATCTTACAAGGTGACTTAATCAGGTGGGAATGGCCACGTCCCATGCCTTATTAAGTCCTGCAAAGTATTCAGCATTTAAAGCTTTACCAGTCTTGTAAGAGGTGTGCTAGTCAGGCATAGCCAAAAAAGCAAGCAGTAATGTTATCTAGCATTACAACATAAAGTAGGGACTTAGCATACATTACACGACTCTAAGAGACTTCCCAACAGTTTTACAGGGACAAGCAGTTGATTACGATATTAGGCAAGGCCTAAATATTTAGAAACAGACTTACTTTCAACTAACCTGGCTTCTAGCATTTGAAAACAAGGACAGTCTATTCAGTCCCTCAGTTGCCAGAGAAAGATTATAAAATTACTTTCTCCAAAGCTAGCGTCAACTTGCACTGAGTTAACAAAAGGCTAAGTAGCATATAAGAGACATTTCTATATTTCTTTACAGCTGGATTAGAATGAGCTCCTTCACAATCCATGAAGGAGAATGCAGGCTAAGGAAAGGAGAGGGTGTGGTCTTGGGAAAAATTCAAGATAGCGGGTAGCATTTCACATACACAGCAGGCAACTTTCCCATATCCTTGACAACAGAAAACAGGAATTTTAACAGTGTCAACGGGTTGGGAGAAACACCACACAAATAAAGGGAGGGAAACATAAATGACATAAAGAAACATGCACTATTCAAGTTTCTAAAATACGACATGTTGGCCGGGCTCGGTGGCTCAGCCTGTAATCCTGCACTTTGGGAGGCCAAGGGGAGTGAATTCGAGACCCGCCTGGGCAACTTGGCGAGACCTCATCTCCACAATAAATCAAAAATTAGCCGGGCGTGGTAGTGCGCACCTGTAGTTCCAGCTACTTGGAAGGCTGAGGCGGAAGGATTGCCAGAGCCCAGCTGGTCAAGGTTGTGATGGCTGGGAGCATGCCGCTGCCTTAGAGCCTGGGCGACAGAGTGAGTCTCCAACTCAAAAACAAAACAAAACAAAACAAAACATGTTCCATTAAACATAGCATAATAACCCAACCAGCTTTTTAGCAGATTCAAAACAACAGACACACACAAATAAGAAAATGAGGAGCCTGGGAGACGTCTGTTCTGTTCTCCTCTAGCCATAATCCTCACAAAGACATTTCAGACACCTCTTAGCAATTGGCAGGTTGGTATAAACTCCCAACCCAGATCAACTTTGTGCGGAACCCTCCCACCTCCGTCTCATCTACATGCAATCACACAAGGCATTCTTCAACCTTCTGCCCTCATCCTTGGAGTATACGGGTTCATCTTCAGACAGTGTTGCCTTCCACGGCCTTCTAGCCCTTTCCTTCGGACTGGAGATTATTATTATTATGATTTTGAGTTGGAGTCTCACTCGGTCGCCCAGACTGGAGGGCAGTGGCCACTCCCGGCCACCGCAGCCTCGACCCACTGGGCTCTGGCGATCCTTCCGCCTCCGCCTTCCGAGTAGCCGGAATTACAGGCACGCGCTACCACGCCCGGCTGATTTTTTAATTTATTGTAGAGATGAGGTCTCGCTGCCCAGGCGGGTCTCGAACCCGCGGGCTCAGGCCATCCACTCACCTCAGCCTCCCAAAGGCGTGGGATGACAGGCTGAGCCAATGAACCAGGCTTGGACTGCAGATTATTAGCGGACTCTGGGAGGTGATCAGGCTCCCCTTCTGCCATCCATTGGCAAGTCTACGCCAAGGCCCTTATTCCTACCCTTTCCGTCAGGTGGTCGTTCTGTCCTTTCTGTCGGGTGGTCATCCTCATGCCAGTTCCTTGCCTCTTGGGCCCCTGTTGTGCTTTTGTGGTCCGAGCCACCTCAGTTCTCAAAAGGTCTGCTGTGTGCCACGTGAGATTGCCTCTCCCATCTCCCCGGAGGTTGTACCCAGATGACAAAGGAGGTGGAACACACTGTCTCTGAACTCTCCCATTCCCAGCCAGTGCACCAAGTTTGTAGAGGGAAGACAGAGAGGCCGTGACATCGAGGCTATTTTAGGAAGTAGCAGTTTTATTAGTGCCGGTGCAACTCAGTGGGCTAACGCTCCCAGGCTGAGCACCCTGGGGAGGGAGGAGAGGGGTCTTATACTTTAGTTTAGGCAAGGGAGGGGGTCGGGTTGATTGACTATACATTTTCTTTGGAATTTACAAAGTTGTACTCAGCAAAACCAGATTTTCAAAGAACAGACAGTCTCATCTCCAGGATATGCATAACAAGCAGGGGTTGTAAACGGATACCTTCACAAAGAGAGGATTTGGGTTAAGGTTGTGCACTGGTTCCAGGAAAGCCTCAAGCAAAACCTGCCTAGCAGATTGATCAACATGGCTGTGCGCTGGCCAAGGGAATGCCAGTGCAACTAGGTGTCCTCTGCACCGAGAGAGAGAAGAAGGAGGAGGAAGAAGAGGAAAAGAAAGGGTGCTGAAAGAATCAAAAGGCTCAGAATCCAGTTTTAAAGAGTCTATTCCAGTGAAAAGCTGGGAATGGCCATTCCAAGGCCCCCAGGCTCCAAGTAATGGGATCCACCTTCCAAGTTCTAAGTTAAGTTCCTGTTGACATGGGAAGAAGGCAAAGGCATTTAACAGGGTTATGTTTCCCACGCAAGGCTAGTTTAAGGGTCGCAACAAATTAATTGCAGTTTGTTTTCTTTTCCATATGGCTTGTTTTCTTGATAGCTGGCTTTCTTTCTTTTTTTCATGTAGAAGAGTGCGTTTACTCTTCCATTTTATAGCAATGTGATAGCCATGAGGTCTTTGTGTGGAAGGGTAAAGGGAGATCGGTCTATAATGAAGACAAACAGTGGGTCTTCCCTGGCGCCTTGCTGTCATTTCCAACACTTCACAAGACGATGCAGAAAGGAAGAGAGCCCTCCTATAAGCAGGGGAACGAGGGCTAAGGCCCCCTTCACACCCCTTCTTAGATGCAGGGGAAGGGGCAGGGACCTCACTGTAAGGAAAATGAAACCAGACCAGGTGAAACGGCAACAAAGGAGCCAAGAAAAATTTATTAGCGCGATCCCGGGCGAGGTTCACTGGTCCGTGTAACTGTGGGCTGGAGAAGTCGCGCCCAGCAAGATGGGCGACGGGTTTATAAAGGGCACACTGAGAAAGCTGTGAGGGGGTTGGGGAGAGCGATCACTGGTTGGGACACTGGTCGCGTCTGCTGGAGACTGGCTGAACGGGGTTGCTAGAGTCGCTGTCACAGGTGCTGGCTGGTTTTGAGGCTGGGGTCTTAGTTCCGGTTACTCATTTTTGCTGGCTCACTTTCGCCCATTGTTCTGGTCTGGGTTGGAGCCGTCTTGTTGAGGCCCATCCCACCCTCCAGTACCTCCGGCCTTACACACGCGATACAAGAGAGCTACAGAAAAATAAAATTCTGTATTTTAAAAACAGATCCGAGTTTGTGAACAAAGAGTCATAACACACACACACACACACACACACACACACACACACACACACACAGACATCAGAGAGAAGGGGATTAGAAATACTTGAACGAGCCAGGCTCGGTAACTCAGCCTATAATCCCGTGCCTTTGGGAAGCTGAGGTGAGTGGATTGCCTGAGCCCGCGGGTTCGAGACCCGCCTGGGCAGCGAGACCTCATCTCTACAATAAATAAAAAAATCAGCTAGGCGTGGTAGCGCGTGCCTGTAATTCTGGCTACTTGGAAGGCTGAAGTGGAAGGATTGCCGGAGCCCAGCAGGTCGAGGCTGCGGTG